GTTTGAATCTGGGGGGAATCTTGATGTAACATGAATGTAACATGATTTAACTACTTGGTAACTTGGCAACTGCTAAGTCTACCACTTGATTGTGGTGTTTTTTGAGCAACCCTGATAGGAAACGCCAGGCGTTGGGGATATGGTTGGATACCATGGGACGTGGATTATATATATATATATACACCATCTGGTTATGACTAACATAGCCATGGAAAATCACCATGCTATTAATAGGTAAACCATCTATTTCTATGGGCAATTTTCCATGGCTATGTTAGTCATAACCAGAGGGAATATATCAAAAAGTTGATAGACATTAATAGACCAACTTTGATATTTCATGACATGGGGATCATTTATATGGGCGATGCCATGAAGAACATATTGTTGGCTTTTAAAAAAAGATCGGGGATATGACCCGCAAGACTGTGGAAAAAAATATCAGGGGATATCACGGGGCTCGTAACGAACAGTATTACCCTCTGGTTATTTAACATAGCCATGGAAAATGGCCCATAGAAATAGATGGTTTACCTATTAATAGCATGGTGATTTTCCATGGCTATGTTAGTCATAACCAGAGGGTAAACCTCCATTTTCCTATGATTTTCCCATTTTCCCATGGTTTCTCTGAAAATGGGAATAGCCCAAGAATTGCGTGGCTTTCCGTTTAGACGTGACCAAGAGATCTCTGAGTCTCTGCATTTGCGGCTCCAACAATTCTCCGGCGTAGACCTCGCAGACCCTCCATAAACTTAAAGGTAGTGCCATGGCTCCAAGTGTGAAGTCCATTGATATTGGTGGCATCACTCTGAAGTGCAAGCAGGGAAGAAAAGTGGAGATGTTGGAAGCGGATGATCCCATGTTGCAGTGGAGTGTGAGCTCCGGACAAGGCAGCAATCAGAAGCCTGAGGAGTGCCTTTTGGATGATGATGAACCAGAGCCTCCAGCCAGCTTCATGGATCTAATGGATGACAAACCGTTCCGATGTTCATTTTACTCCGTGACCCAGTACACAGATGAAGATCCACCCGTGGGGCCAAACGGTCTCATGCACCAGAACTGGACCAATGTCATGGATGACTTGATGACCGCCCTTCAGAAGGAAAAACACCAGAAGGATTTCCAGCAGCACATTCTCAAAGAACGAGGCACGAGTCGAACATGCCAATGACTCTCATTCATGTCATTTTGAAGCAGTTAAGACTTCTTAACTGTTAAGACATTTCTAGAAGGGTGAGCTTGGACTTATTGTTGCCATGCCGGTTTCATGGGAATTCCAGCTGCGGACCCCCCCAGTTGCATTCGCATTTGTAGTAAAATCAGCCCGGGATTCTAGTCAATGATTCAGGCACAACCGGACTGTCACACTAAATCGCGAGTTTTGCTAAGCAAGCAATGTTTAGCCGTTTAGCCAAAGTCGGGGTAAGTACAGGAGTTGGAAATGAAACGTGAAGAAGCATGGTTTCGATTTTGGGCTGCCGGTGAAAACTGGTTGGGAAACCGAAAAGCAAAGTACTACAGGAGTTCTTTGGAATGAATCCATTCTTTGGATTGGCTATTGGCTATCATCTGTATATTTTGGGCTGTTTCGTTTTTGTAGTGTTTGTGTCAGAGTGAGCAAAAAAACCCGCGTTCCCAGTTGATGAATAGATGCGACATTTTTTGCGACATGACTTATTGGACATTGTGGGACCACACGGCAATATAAACAGGATGGGGCCCCCCAGTGATGTTAGTTGGTTTATAGACCATTATAATCCCCAGTAACTATAGTTATATCTACCATAAACCATTGTTAAGCCATTTATAAACCAACTTAGCTATCTTGGGGGCCCCATCCTGAAGACTATGTTTGTATTTTTTGCGCATTTGGGAAATCTTTGCAAACATTGACTAAGGCGATGACGGGAATTTGTTCATTGCTCAATTGGCCCGGAAATCTCTAACTCTAAGTTAGCTACTGTAGACCCGCACAAGGTTTATACAGATGTTTTTGGAACCATAAAGTTGCTACTGGTAGGTCCCTAAGTAGTGCGCGCACTTTCTGAAGGAAATACTTGTAAGCAGCTTGAGTGGAATGTTTGGTGATTCTGAACTGGTGTTCATTAAATTTATATAAATTTATCATAGTGCCATCGTTGCGCCTGGTAGGTGAGGATGATTCCATGGTCCGACGGATGTGGAACCGTCTGCAAGGTTAATGAAGACCTTTCCTTCCAAATGAACTGAGAGTTCGCGGCCAGCGCAGACTCTCAATTCATTTTCCCCCGGCCACCAACGCTGGCAGAGCGTAGTGCTGGGCTTGGTTTATTGTGCCAATTTGTTCTGAGAGTTTGCGGCCAGCGCAGACTCTCAATTCAATTTCCCGGCCACCAACGCTGGCAGAGCGTCGTGCTGGGCTTGGTTTATTGTGCCAATTTGTTCTGAGAGTTTGCGGCCAGCGCAGACTCTCAATTCAATTTCCCGGCCACCAACGCTGGCAGAGCGTAGTGCTGGGCTTGGTTTAGTGTGCTTGCAAGAGGCAGGCGCGCAGAAACCCAGCTGGAAACGTGAACGCAGACACAGATATGTCATTCTTTCCAGCAAATTTTCAGTTTGTGTCAGTTTGTGTGGGGAGTCAGCAAGATTCATCAAGCTTCCAAATCTATCAAAATTTCCAGTTGAACTTGTGTGGACCTCCAGATCCACTTCATTCTGGGATTCGCATACTTCGTATTTTCCTTGTTCGCCACTTTTGGAGGCGTGAGCTTTGCAAGGGCTTGAGGGAGAAAACCCTGTTTGTGCCTTGCCACTGTTTGAGGCGTTGACTTGCCTGCAAGGTATCTGCTCCGTAGTGAAAGTCCTTGCTTCCTATCCGCCTGTGGCCGAAGTGATGACACAAGATTTGGGACAGCCCCAACGGGCCCCCAACAAGTCCCAATCCTTCCGGTGTCTCCCATCATATCACCAAAGTTGGCAATCTGGGACCTGCGGTAGCCTCGGATTCTGAGGGATTCCTGGAATCATCTGATCTGTACCTTTTCCAAGAATTGATCTGGGAATACCAAAGACCTGATTTCGCCAGAGATTTATTTTATATAAATCAGATATTATCAGGTCATATTTCATTGGATTCATTCACTTGGCGAGGACTCTTTCAGCAGGGTATCGTTGAGAAGTGAATGGTCACTCTGGTTAGTCTATATTGACAGTTCATACAGACAGTCCTACGGCCTTGGCTCTGTTGGAAGCAGTTTTGGTTGGATACCATGGGACATATAACCAACAATATGATTTGGGTTTGTCTCTGAACATGATGATGGGGAAATGGATTACAAATCAAATGGTTTTTTGGGCAAGATTTTTCAGACACACGCATACTGACACATGACCCTTTCTACTTGCTCGTTCTGTTGGCATATCCAGACTCTACCACTTCTAGATGTACTATTAGCTTGTACATAGAAGATCCCCACCCAATCACTGATGCGATTTTAATCTCAACCTCAATTTGAACCTCAATCTGAACCTCAATTTGAACCTCAATCTGAACCTCAATCTGAACCTCAATCTGAACCTCAATCTGAACCTCAATCTGAACCTCAATCTGAACCTCAATCTTAACCTCCTTCTCTTCCTTCTCTTCCTTCTCTTCCTTCTCTTCCTTCTCTTCCTTCTCTTCCTTCTCTTCCTTCTCTTCCTTCTCTTCCTTCTCTTCCTTCTCTTCCTTCTCTTCCTTCTCTTCCTTCTCTTCCTTCTTCTCCTCCTCCTCCTTCTCCTCCACCTCCTTCTCCTCCTGGTCCGCCTCCTCAGTCTCCTCGTTGTCCTCCTCGTCGTCGTCGTCATCATCATCATCAGCATCATCATCATCGTCGTCGTCGTCGTCGTCTTCATCGTCGTCGTCGTCGTCGTCTTCGTCGTCGTCGTCGTCGTCGTCGCCGGCGTCGTCGTCGTCGTCGTCGTCATCGTCATCGTCATCGTCAGCGCATGATCATCATCATTGCCATCTTGATCTTGATCTGGATCTTGCTCGCCACCGCCACCACCACCACCACTACCACCACCACCACCACCACCACCACCACCACCCACCCAACCTCAAAATCACCCTCAACACCAACACCATCACCATCAGCATCGCCATCGCCATTGTTACCGCCATCACCATCACCATCATCATCTTATTCATCATCATCATCATCATCATCATCGTCATCATCCCGGTCGCGGTTGGAGATTTTAACTCGTTGGTCGCTCTTTCTTGGGATTGTTTGGGGTCTTCTTGTGTTTTGCGTCCTTCCTCTCTTGTTCATGTTTCTGCTCTAGAGCCACCAGAAACCGGCGAGGAGGGTAGCAATGACGTTTCCTGAGCTGCTGTGAGTCGTTCGGCCAACGAACAAACCAACAAACCAACAAACCAACCATCATCAGCATCATCATCATCATCATCATCATCAAAATCATCATCACAATCATCATCCTTCTCGTCCTCGTCCTCGTCCTCGTCCTTGGCTTGGTCGCCGCCGCCGTCCTGGTCATGGTCATGGTCATCCTCCGCCTCCTTCTCCTGCTCTTCTTCATCATCATCCTCACCCTCATCATTGTCATCTTCATCTTCATCATCTTCTTCTTCATGACCATTGCATCATTTCATCATCTGAGCATTTCATTGCGTTTCCTGCGCTGCTGGATGTATTCCGGTTCGCAAACCTGAGAGAGGCCCTGCTGTGTAGATGTGACCCTGATCTCTGGTGATGCTTTTGCATTTTGGCTCTACATTCTTCGGCGTAGACCTCGCAGACCCTCCATAAACTTAAAGGTAGTGCCATGGCTCCAAGTGTGAAGTCCATTGATATTGGTGGCATCACTCTGAAGTGCAAGCAGGGAAGAAAAGTGGAGATGGTGGAAGCGGATGATCCCATGTTGCAGTGGAGTGTGAGCTCCGGACGAGTCAGCAATCAGAAGCCTGAGGAGTGCCTTTTGGATGATGATGAACCAGAGCCTCCAGCCAGCTTCAT